TTTTATTTACTTTTCCTCCCGGACGTTAGGAATAGTAATCGATAAACTGTATAACTCGATGTTATGCCAAGACGGAATGAATTCCAGAATTCTCATCATATATGAAAAGTTATCGATTATCGCAATAGCAAACACTGACATTATTAAAATATTACAATTGTATGTCCGACTTACGCAATATATAGTTAAGTTATAAATTATATGACTTATAAGAAAGTATCAATATATAATTTGGATAAATAGAAATTTTATGGATTGTAAATAATTAATTAAAATATTGATCATAATTTTATGATAATTGGAAATTTGAAAACTGCTCAAAAACAGGCTATTGAGATCGAAACGTTCTAATAAACTCATTAAACATTATTGAAAAAGAATAGCAGTAAAAAAATAGCGTTATTAGAATATGCTGAAATGCTGAGTGCACTTTCTAAAGAAATGATTTCCAGTTAAATAGAAAAACAATTTCTTGAAAATTGACTCCACGGTCTTTTTTTTTCGTTTTTAAATTCAAAAATCAAAAGTTTAAATTTGTTTGCCATCTTCAAATTTCTTGCACAATAAGTGGCAGTATTTATTGCATTTTCTTCCTGTAACATTAATGATTTCTATTTTGGACAATTTGAAACAACAATACTAATTAAAAATATGAACCGGTTAGGTGATAATGCGTTTAAAAATCATGAAATCTATTCTGGTAGTTCTTAAAGTATTTTGTTTAAGAAAACTCCTCCACACTTATAAGTAACAATCTTATTAATATTGGATAATTCCCAATGGTGATGAAAACCGATATTTTAAATTTTAGAATAGGCGGATATTTGTATAAAATCGGATTTTAAAAACAATTTCAAGAGAAAACTTCATTCATTATTATACTCAAAGATTTCAGTTTTGAATCACTAATAATCACAAGCTTTTGCTAGCAATTCTAGTTAAATTTGTTTTTTTGTCTGCATCAAATGCTTTTAACAACAATTCATTGCATCACAAAAGGCAATAATACTGCACCAAAAAACAATCGAATTTTGATTCGTGTGATTGCACACACGTTATTTTGTAGAACAAATTTTCATATGAGAAAAAATGCATTTATCAAATAAAAAATTATAGTAAATAAAAATGTTATCGAACAGGAAATACAGTAATCATATTTGAATCATTTGTTGAATCATGCAAATTGATGCGAAAGTTGTATTATTGTAGAAAATTAAATCAATCTGCACCGCTTTTACACAATTATTTTTGCGCAATTTTATTGATAGCAAAGTTTTTTCAATATTTTATGTAATATTTTACTCTTTAAAATAAGCATTTGATGTTTGTAAGAAACTAATTAAAAAACAAACAAGAGAAAAAAAAAAGAAGAAAAACGAAGACTTACATTATTTTGCAAGCATATTTGCATAGGTGGATAAATAAGAAGTGATACAAGTAAAAGAATTAAGTCGAAAAATGATAAGCCAGCAAGGTAAATGTTCAATGATGAACGCATTTGTGGACGAGTGAATATGATGATACATATGGAGGCAGCAAATATACCAGGAGTGCAAACAAGTGGCAATACAGTGGTATAAATAATATGTTGAACAAAATCAACAAGATTATCAGTTCTTTGGGGATCACGGGATTCCGGCATATAGCATCCTGAATGATGATTATGATCCATTGATAAGGATGATAATGATAATAGTGAAAAAAACAATAATAATATTACTACTACTACTAATAATAATAATAATAATAATAGTGATAGAATTTCTTTTAGCTAGGAAGTTGCTCTTTTCGTCCATTTAATTAAAAACTAATAGACAGCATATAATTTAGCACTGACCATTTAGCTTTAAGGATTACTTGTTAGAGTCCTTTTTCTGACTAAGTCTTATTATTTCCAGTTGTCCTACTTCATTCATCCATTCATTTTGTTGCACCACACCCCCTTTTTTTACCCCTTTTATTTGCTCCACCCAAACTTTAACGTCTGTCACCAATATTTTATTCACCATATGTTATCTCGTCCATTTGAACTAAAAATAATTTATCCGTGGTGTCGGGGTATTTGCATTATTGTTTGAAGATTAACACTTTTTTAGATAATCCTCGTGATTATCATTCAAACTGATGGTGATACATTGTTGATAATAAAATGGTAATGTTTTATTTTTTTTGTCATTTAAAAATTTCACAATAATCAAAATAATATCGTTGATAGTAGATTTGATAAGATTAAATGGAATAAAATAGAAGTAATATAAAATTATTATCATAAAAATTCAATTACAGTTAAGTGGAAATGGCAACAATCAAAGTGATCAAAAGGAATAGTCAATTAAAAAATAAATAAATGAAGCGAAATGGGAGATAATTAAAAAAGTGAGGAAGAGAAGAAATTAAAATTTAAGAATGAAGAAAGGAAAAAAAAAGGGAAAAGGAAGCGGAAGAAATTTGAAATGATGTTGGGACTTTCAAATAATATATTCGTTTGACATTTGCCAGAGAAGCAAATACATTTCAGGCCTTCTCGGATGATAGAAATAAAAAAGTCGAAGGTGAAAAAATGTAATCAAAATTTTCTCATTGATGCTTTCTATGGTGAACGAAAGTGGATTTTTTATTTTTATAAGAATATTTCTGGAATTTGTGATATTATCTTTTCCAAAGAGTTTTTTTTTCCAGTTTTTTTTTTATTCCATAATCTAAATTCTCAGCATAACAGTTTTTATCAGATTACTATCAGGAAATATAGCTTCCGATATAGCTTGAAGCAATCACTTCTTTCATTTGTATAATTTATGCTAATTTTAATCAATTTGACTTAACTTATCCTGCATTTATGCATAATTCCTAAACTTTCGTCGAAAAATAATTTATATTCATTTAGTCAAGCATGAATAGATAAACAGAAAACAAAATGAAATTTAGGATATTAAAAGCACTAAAATGTTTGTTCCCGAAAAGTTATGATTAATTTAGAAAGATACTGAACGTAGTAGTAACTATTGAATAAAAAATTTGAAACTTTTTCAACCAATAATTTGATAGCTTGCTATTGAAAGTAAAATGTTGCATCATTTCAAAATATTTTTTCAAAAAATTTTTATTACAACATTTGCCATGGGATTTCTTTACTAAATGATATTTTAAATCAGTTTGAAAAGAAAATAATCCGATGTTTTCACAAACTATTTAACAACTGTTACAATGGTTTTATAATGAAGTGCAATCAAAATTTTCATATTGGAATAGAGCGTCAAATTTGAATGGAAAAAACAAGAAAAGGCGAAAATATCCAAAATTGATTTGTGAAAAAATTTTCATTCATATAACAAAAATAAAAGAGAAATTGTAGTGAAAATTATTTTCCCTTTGATTTGAAAGAGTAAATTTGGTATTTCCACGGCAATTATAATTGAATAGGTTTATTCGAAAGTAAATTGGAAAATATTGGACAATTAACGATGATGAAATATTTCGATTTCTAACGATTGATTTTCAGGGACTTAATCAAGTAGCTTTTTCTCGAGAAACGGGAACACGTCATGGTTGTGACAAGTTCCAGTTGATCTGTCTATCTAAATAGTGTCCAATCTAACTAAATGTACACTCCAACATTGGGCGGTATAAGGATGATGGATAATGCAGGCTTACAGGAGATAACCGATGGTTGGATAATGTCAATGTTGGAGAAGAAGCTATGGGAATAATGCGGATTGTTAGATTGCTCGTTAGCTACATTTGTTGTTGTTATACGTAGAAAAAAGAGAGAGAAGCATGTCATAGCGGGAAATGTTTGTAGGTAATAACTGTGAGTGACATTCGAGAAATAAAGAATATCATGTGACAAGAAATTAAATTTAACGCTGACGAAAGATTGTGGAGAGCAATTTTCTTAGCCGAACTGTCAATGATGCATAATCTCTTCTATTCATGTGAAAAACAATTTCATATCGAAAAATTGCCGATTTCCCGACAAGAATAGCATAAGCATAATGAAATATATCTGCTATGTTACGTTATCATTTAATAACTATCTTTAAAATAAAACAATCATTGAATTAATTGATTACTGATAACGACGTTCTTCATGAAATTCTTTTGAAAGTGGTATTTAGTAACGCAATGAATCAAAATAATTGTTGCACTGTGAAATTTTAATAAATAATCACTGGAAAATATTTTTGAATACTTGCAACAATTGGAGTAAGTAATCCTTTCATTATCACCAACACGTTTGATAAACAAATCAATGACGAGTTTTTTTTTTTTGATGAGAAATCGGACCCGAGTTATTGTTGTTTTTTTTTTAACTATTATTAAACTAAATCAAGTAAATAAGCTTTGAAAGATAACAAAGTTTTGATAGATTTTGGCGAAATTTGATTCGTGCAAAATATTCACTGTCTTCTGATTGAAAATTTTGCAATATCAAATTTCGTAGCAAAAGAAAAAAGCAATTCAATGCTTTTATATAATTAATGCAATTCTTGTCCCAATCCAACAAAAAGATTTTCTAATTTTATAAGCAAAGCAGAAAATTAACGAAAATTTGATTTCATTATTTTCGAAATGCTAAAGAAGACATGGAAAGATTTATTTATAGGTTCTTTCTAACATACATATTTCGTTCTCTTAAATTCTCTTAAAAAGTAAGAAAAATAATCATTTTTTTTACAAAAAAATGTCTCCTACATATTTCGAATTTATAGATACGCCAAACTTAAAATATTTCACGTGCAACTTAAATTTTCATATTTTGAAATTTAATTTTGAAGTAACAAAAATTGATTGATTATATTCAATAAGATCAACTTTTACAATGATGAAAAGTTTTCTTCATTATATTTAACTTGTTGGAGAGTAATACGATCAACTGAATTGAAAGTATTGGATAAAATTTATGAGTGGAATAATGACTGATAACATTGTGATTATTTTTAGTTGATTATTAATAATGAAATTCTTCCCTCATTGTGTACCGCAATATTAAGCACTTTCTTATCATTATCTGTGCTTCTTCGCTTCAATTCAGTATCAACACACTTTATCATTTCTATTTGACCATTAAAAAATTGAAAAAAAGCCAGCAATACAAAATTTTAAATTTAAATGCCGAAAGCATATGCGAACCACTTACAATTATCGTATTATTTAAAAGTTTTCTTTTTAAGTCAACTATACCGTTTTTGCTCACAAATCATAAATTTGATAATACTCTTAAAAAAATCAATTAATTCAAAGATTTCAACAGCCATACGCTGCATGAATTTGGTGAAAGATGCTAACTGAATGAAATCACGCTATCCTAGTCAAGGATTTAAAAATTTCTTGGAACTGAAATCACATTTCAAATGGAATAACCATTATAACATAAAAAGAAATAATACTATTATCAATCATATGCAAAATTATGATATACCACAGTTCTCATTTATCGTTATTGCGATTATTCTTTAATTATATACTAATTTAATTAGCAAAATTAATCATTTTAAACATATGCTCATCATTTAAACTATCGACACTTTTCCATCACCATTTTCGCAACTTTCTGAAATAATTGACCTTTCTTATTTAACGATTGAATGAATGTATCTGTCTATATATATCTTGCATTTCTGTATACATGTGTGTGTGTGTATGTGTGTGTGTGTATGTGTGTGT